GATGCTTTCAGTGAAGATCTACCCTGAAGAACCCCTGAGACCTTGAGTGAACTCCCTCAATAATTATAAACATTAGAAAATTAATCGAAATCCCTCCCTCTAGAGAATAAAAAATTTAAGAAAACTGAATAACCAATGGGGAAGTTCATCCAAAGTCATATGCAACACAGTCATCTTCTAGAACAATATGATTGTCATAATTGAAACCCAATCAGGGAGAAACACGACTTTGAAAAAATAAATGCTTCTCTGAAGTGAATGAATATTTGGCGAAAATCATTTTTCATCACGCTGTGCGAAAAAGTAAATGATTATTTGGCGAAAATTCTTTGTGAAAGTATGGCGTTTGTTTCAAATTAGAATATACCAAATTAATTTAGCTTCCTTATCCCCTGGTCAGGATCCTATCGAAAAGTTCCACAGTGGACCGAGCAAGACAATCACAAGACCACGTGCGTCGATCCGACACCCACCGGTGTAACGAGGCGCTACATTGTAACATTATCTGAGGATAAAGGTGGAGTGCAAACGGATATTCGCGCTAATGCATTTCCGAAAACCACTGAGTCTTCACGGCTGTGGTCACACGAGGGTGGTAGAAAGGCCGTCACCACACTTTCGACCTTACCCCGAAGCATGTCTGGCATTAATGCACCCGGCTGCTGTCACATGAATGTCGACATTGGCGGTGACCTAAGATCAATCTCAACTGCATGTGCAACCACTCGAGAGGATACTGAAAGCACAATTTCCATGCAGTTGTGAATAAATCGACTAGATTTGGGCACTTTGAAGAGCAAAATGAAAAAATACTGAAATGATATTCGTTAACGTGATGAGGAGTTTCCCTTTAGTGTGGCGGAACTGACCCTTCCGCTCTATTTTACTTCATCCAGCGACAACCGGTTGCACGCTTTCCCTCATCCCTCTCGTGCTGGTTCACACTCACCCTCCTTCATCCCAGAGAGTATCGAACGAGCGTATCACCTTCCTCTCGCCCCCCCCCCCCCCCCCCCC